TTATGTTCATACTCTAATATGTGAGATTTATCATAAGGTTCATCCAACTTAGATTCTACTCATTCAAAGCATCTTAGGACCTAAAAATAAAAATAATATTACCTTAGCCATTATGATCTTTTCTTGAAGCTTGAATATGAGTACTTATGTTTTTGTAGTTGATTTGTCCTTATCTTTAAGATTTTAAGCTTTGTCTTGATCAAAAGCACATTCTTGCATGCATGCATTCACAATACATAAAAATCTTTAAAGTACTAAAACCTTCTCATTTTCTCAATAAAAAACTTGTACCCTTCTTTCTTTGAATTGACAACCTCAGACACATACGATGTTAGCAAGATGGACAACACTAGAGTATCATTTTGAATTCACAATGTTGAAGAAGCATCATGTTAATGTAAGATCATAAATTATGTTATAGCCCCTACACCTCTTCGACTAGGGTATTGGAGAGGTTTGAGAAATGAAAATAGAAGTTTTCTTGGAGAAAACTATCATATGTCATTTCATATGCCAACAAGGGATGGACATGTCAAGTGAGTAGGAAACTGGCCTATGCATACTAGAGACGATAGACATACTTTTACTGAAATAAGATGATGCTTAGAAGCCATCTTAGACGAGAGTAGTGATGAAAAATGATGTTAGGTTACTTTCTGAATAAAGTTGGCTCCAAGGACAACATCTCGAACTTACATAAGTTTTTTCAAAGCAATCCTCTGATGGATACTAAGATGAACCTCCCCACATTCTCTTTAGTAGATTGAGAGAATATATAACCCACATCGAGAAGGTCAGATCTACCTTTCAGCCACCATCTCTCTTAATTGATGAAACACCAAGTTGTATATGGGCTACTTGAGAACATGTTTGTTGAAGACCAAGCTTAAACACTTCCAAAGAAAAGATTCTCTTTGTTTATCTTTGGGGAGGTAAACTTAGCCAACATGAGTCTAAGCAATGTTACCCGAGCTATAATCATATAAAGGATGAGGACCAGAGGATAAATAATGAAGTATTGAATCTAGGTGGACATGGAGGGAAACAAAAAAAATATGAGAGAGAGAGAGTGAGAGCGAACAAAATAGAGAGAAAGGGGGAGAGGAAGTGAGTGAGGGAGATCAACACATCGAGGACGTGTGGGAAAATGGGAGGTTCCTTCTTTTGGGAGACCAATCTATCATCAACCCCTCCTCAGAGATTCAACAACTTTATTCTTCACTAACTTTCCAACAGACCATGGTGCTAAGGAGATGTGGGACCTTTTTCTCAAATGGGGAAAAGTTGTTGATGTCGTCATTCCTTTCTGGGTGGACAAGTATAGCAAGAAATTTGGATTTGTAAGACTTCTTGATGTCACAAACAGTGCACACATGGTGGCAAAACTGGATAGGATTTGAATTGGATCTTATAAAAGATGGCTGGACATTCCGAAATTCGTGAGAAGGCAAGACACAAAAACTCCCAAGCATGGAACGCCTAACAAAATTCCCAGAATTTGCGTGGAATGCCCATCAGGCTCTATGAGAGGATGTGCTTTACCTCTTACATTCAAAGACGATCGTAACTTTGTGGATGCTGTCAAATTTGGACGTAAATCGCCTCCAACCACCAGCCACCTCGCAGCGACTCCATCTCAATATGCTAACATGGATTTCCAAACCGCCGATGAAACTCCACTGCGGTTCCACAATAGTTTCATTGGGATAGCAGCAGATTATGTTGATTTGGATGGCCTGAAAGAAGGTAACCTGGAGTTAAGGTGGAAATAGACCAAACAGCCTATCAGTGACCTATTACCTAACCTATAACAGGTCAGGCCAGACTATGTTTTTTTAGTAAACAGACTAGACTTAGGCTTCTCCAAAAGCCTATTTAACCAAAATAAGCTAGGCCCAATACTTTTAAAAAGCATACTAAGTTTAACATGTCGGCCTATGTAATATTATTATATATTTATAATTTATAAATTATTTTTATAACATGCACAAAAAACTAAATAATAAAAATTTTATGTAAATCAACTAGGACTTAGAGATTAGACTATTTAACAATTGGATATTTAATTGTTGAGACTGATACTTAAGTATATAATTCAACTCATGTTAAATATTAGAAGAATATCATATTTTACTATGATATTAAAATATATTGTTTTATATATTCTAACCTAAAAAACACCACAAATCCTTGGAAGATGATGAAAATAATTGTGATAACAATGTAAAAAAATTCACACTAATATCTATAGTTATAATAATTTTTTCTAGTTTGTACATAATGTGTAATTTTTTTACCTTAACAGACCTTTAAACGGACTAATAGGTTATACCAGACTTTGAATTTTTTTTAAACAGACTAACAGGTCAACTCAGGGTCCTATATGTTATATAGGTTCTACCTATTTAAGGTATCTCCTGTGTTTTCACCCCTCCATAGAGTCTTTCATAAAAGATGAGTATGACTAGTTGAAGAGGCACTTCAGTGTGCTTCGTGGGAGCCATCAGACTTTGCTAAGGAGCGCTTCACTTAGGTTAGATGTTATGGGGTCCCTTTGCATGCTTGGGAGAAGTTTTTTTCATAAAATAGCTTCTCTCTTCGGTAAATTTCTTGGACTCGATGAATGGACTAGATTTACAAAACGCTTGGAGTATGGAAGAATTCTTCTTGCGACCCCATCCAACGCCCCCATTGATAAAGCTATCCAAGTGAGGATTGATGGTGTTGATTTTGTTGTCACTATAGTCAAGGAAAGAGAAGTGTACCGGCACCAAAATAAAAAACGGTCTTGTTCTCCATCAACCTCAGACTCAAGTCCTTCTGAGTCTTGCGGGTCCTGGTTTAATCGAGCTTTGGACGGAAGTGACTCAGTCTGGATTCCTAAGGATGATGACGATGACATGGCGGGTGGCTCGGATGAGGTGTCGGGTGACCCAGTTCGGTTGGGTCTGATCCATGAGAAGTCCAATATTTCCCCAACCATTCAAAACTGAGGCTGTTGTGGACATTGGGAATGCTATGGAGTTAATGAATTCGCCTATCATTGTAGGAAATCTCCCCCACTTTAATGTTGTTGCGGCTTCACCTATAACCATTAAAGGGTTGGACGGATTAAATGCCCAGAGTGACTTGGAATTGGATGACTCTTCAGCACATTTAGTGTGCCACGAAATTTGTGGTGGTAGTATTGATGGCCAGCCAAATAATTCATTGTGCCACGTTAATACGGGAATTGATATTAGCAAAAATACATCTGGAAAGAAGAGGGGCCCATGGAGTTTATTCCTTCTTCGGGCACTGCGAATATTAATGAGTCATCATCTTTGGCATTTGTGCATTCCGCATTAATGCCAATTATTCCCTCATTGGGGAGAGAAGATATCAATGTGGTGGTGGGGGGCTTATTAAGTGGGTGCGATCCTTTGAATCTGGACACTTTGATTGACTCATCACTCACTGAACATCAAGGAGTCCAACCTCATTCCTTTTCTGATGAAGCTGTGGGACCCTCTAATTTAAACTCCTCAAATTGCACTTCTCATGTTCTTCCTCATACAATAATCCAAGATCATATGTCTTCATGCATTCCTATCATGTGTATAAAAAAAATGAAAAGATTATATTCAATTAAAAATAAAAATAATAAAATTAGAAATTAATATTTTAATATTATTTTATGAAATTTTATTGGCTATGGACATAGTAGATGTGTCAAAATGGGCGAGCCCGTGTGGGCCGGCCCGCCACAACCCGAATTTTTGTAGGGCTTGGGTATTAAATTTGGCTCTTTTTAGTGAATTCGGGCTTTTTAGCCCGGCCGGGCCGGGCTATATTAAAACTGGGTTCGGGTCGGGCTTACCCTGGCGGGTTCGGGTTACCCGTTTTCTCTTATTTTAAAACTTTTTTTTGGGACTTTTTGGTTAGTAATAAGTTTAAGATGAAAATTATTTTACAAAATAACTTATGATAAAAAAAATAGATAATATATACTAAATATTGTGTAATGAACTTTAAATAAAAAATAGAGTAATATCTAAAACATAAATATTTATAAATTACAATAATGTTATCAAGTTAATAATTATATTATTTTTCCTATTTTGCTTAATATCCTTTTAAGTACATTAGCAAAATAGTGTATCAAATTAACTGAGAACATTAAATTATATAGATTCTATTTTTCTTTTTTTAATTGTATATTTAATTAGATTTAACTTCTACAACAAAAACATAATAAAGAAAATAATTTTTACAACGAAACTGAAATACAACTTAATTGTTTACCGTAGATAACTCAACACAACCAAATTTAACATAACAGTTCACAATGAAAGTATTGATAAAGAGTATACAAAAGATATTCATACACAAAGTAAAAAAATATTATGATGATAATTATACTTCGACACATAGAATTCATTCTGAATTTGAGTCTATACTATCATTACTATAAACCAAAGTGATATTATTTTTTATTGTATCCATTTATTATATTAAAGTGAAGTTACAAATTATATTGTGTTAGAGATTGAGAGTCTAATATAAATAAAATATTTAATGAATGAGTTATGTTATGAATCATATCTGTATACTTAACATCATGTCTTAGCTCAAACACATAGCATTATATCTATAAGTTTGGTTGCATTGAGTATAAAAATTGTGTTAAAAAATTTATGCATTAATATCAAATGATATATATATATATATATATATTAAATATATTAAATATATTAAATATGTTAAAATTTAAATATATATTTTTTATATTATGCGGGTCGGACCGCCACAACCCGCAACCCGCATAGGGCGGGCTTGAGCTACATTTTGATATACAAAAATTGTATCCGGACTTTTTAGTCCGGTCCAGTTTAGCCCGAACCCGCCCGGGTAGCCCGTTTTGACACCTCTAGGACATAGGGACAGACAAATTCCTTGGGAAAATATTTGTCACTCATTATTGCCCACCCCCTCCCACATTCCCATTCTTTCTCAACCTCATTCACACTCCCAAAACCACACATTCACTTCCTATTCACCAACTGAGCCCACTAAAATTCTCCTCCCTGCAACCAACATTACTCCACCAAACCAAAAATCAACCAAACTAACCGAATCTTCTAAACCTTCTCCTCCTATTTTCCCCATCCAAAGCCCCGTCCATAATACCAAACACATCCCCCTCGCCCCAATTAACACCAACCTCTCTGGCTCTAATGTAGGTGTTCTTGACCTAACTCCAAGTCTTCCTCAGCCTGCCTGAAGCATCCCCCAAATCCTTATTCTAATGTAGGTGTTGAAGCCAAGGCAGTCTGGGAGTTTGGACAGTCCTTAAGTGTAGTTGCCTCTTCTGATCAATCTGATGCTCTTCTGAATCTGGCTCTATCGGATTCTAACTCCAGCAAGGTCCATCACGATGAGGACACCCCACATTCCGATCAACTTCAATTGGAAATTGCCATTGGACTTCAGAACCTATTACAAATAGAAGAGAACACTAAAAAGACTTGCACCATCTAGGATGAAGAAAGAAAGTTATATCTTTTCATTAACGTTTTTTTGTTTTTCTGGTTTCTGTTATAGATGGGCCGTTTCTGTTTTGGGCCGTTTAGTTTCTTTTCCGTTTTAAGTTTCTTTGTTAGTATCAGTTGGGAACTAACTTCTATTTATAGTTTCATAGTTCCCTCTTTGAATTCACTTAGTTTTTCACAATTTATTTTCACGTTTCAATAAACAAGTATTATTCATTCAAGAAGCTTCCAAGTTATTTTTCTTTCTCTTTCAAGATTCAAGGTGTGAAGGTTGAAGATGGGATACCATAAGTTTAATAGAAATGAGTGACGGAGGAGACTGTTCCTTAATGTGGATTGTAGCTTTGAGCCACGAATTCCATGAAATACTTTCAAGCTATGGTTTCCATAGGAACAGTAGGTATTATTCACGTCATCCGAAAAATCGCAGATCTCATACACGATTTCATTAAAATTTACACCACTCCCATATTATTTCAAAAAGTTACACTAAAACCGTAAAAAACAACTAAAACTAGACAAATCTTGTAAATTTTCCTATAATTCTATAATGACAAAGGAGAAATCTAAAAGAAGTATAAGAGATCCAGAACCTATGGAAATGAGTATCTCATCTTTCATCACGATTTGAAGTTGACAAATTTTTACACCCCAACACTTACGGAAATTCTACAATGATCATGAACTACTTTTTGAACATTCACCTTCAAGCAGAGTTTGCAATGCCTCGAACAATTAGAGTTACCAACAATGTTTCAACCTCATGGTTACATCCAGTGTTTTAAATTGTGGCTGCGGTCACGATTGCGGTAACTGTTGTGGTTACTGCGATTGCGGTAATTGCGTCCATTGCCATGCGGATTGCGGCCGTTGCGGAGTGAATTATTTTGTGATTAAAACAATATTTTTGAATCTGATGCTGCCTGATGCGGTCCGATGCGGCCTAATACGATCCAAATGTGCTCCGATGCAGTTGCGTTGCGGTCCGATGCAGTTGCGTTGCGGCCCGTTGCGGCCACATTATTGTGGTTTGGAGTCACACCGCAATTGTGGTGTGATGCGGTTGCGATAGTCACTGCAATCGCAATATTGCGACCGCTTCAGGTAATACGGCCCGCAATTTATAACGGTGGTTACACCATATTGCAGGAACGAAGTTATGCATGGTTCCTCACAAGACATGTCCAACACTTCCTATGGTAGACTTCACAATGACAATGACAATGATATAAGAAGCATAAGTTCTTCAAAGAGTCTCGTGGAAGGTCTACATCCTGCACCAAAGGTTGAATTTGCGTCTAATCAAGATTCTCATCAACCTCTTGCCCTTGTTGTGATACATCGAGGAAACTAATCTCATACTTCTCAAGCTGCTAAGAAAGGAAAATGAAATATTTAAGAATATGAAGATAAAACTAAACTCCTAATCTTTGAAGACATGAAGGGGCTGCATTGATCAAGAAATCAAGTCACAATTTGATCATATGCTTGATGTGAAATACGAAATATTTTTTTTTATTCTATTGTAAAGACTTTTTTATTACAATTAATCCAATGTATACTTTTGTTGCCTATCATATTTAAATCACTTTTTACCTTTTTCTATGATGACAAAAATGGGGAAAAAGTAGAGAAATTACATGAAATATATACATGATTGTTGTATCTGCCTCAATTATATGAATAATACATCTTTTTTGTATTATTTGTTCATCTTTATTGTAATGTATTGAACAGTTTTTATCTGATAAGTTTATCTGCCTACATAATTAGCTTAGTTTCTGATATGACTGCAATCTCATAAGTTGTGCCAATTTTATTGAAAACTATTTTTACACATTTCATGGAAAACCACATTTCATGGAAAACTGTTTTGAAAAGCTTTTGTAGTGCTTAGTCTAAGGGGAATTTTTTTTATCCATAGACTTTAACTAGCAAATTTAATTTAGTCTTTATCTTCGTCAAAAGGGGAGAGATTGTCGAAACCATAGTGGTTTTATCCTTTTAAGTACAAATCATTTTAGTGGAGCCAATTTATTAATCTCATCATTTTACCAATGTTTTTGATGAGTAAGAAATAATTAAATTTGGAAATCATAATATAACATATAAAGTAATCTTTGTGATATTCAATTTGTTGTTATAACTCATACTTTATTAAATTGTCTTTTACAAAGAGCATAAGTTATATCAGAAATATTTGATTAATGAATCTAATACCTATATTGTTGAATTATTTATTGTGATGTTAAGTCAAACTTTTCTAGTGATTAAGCTCATTTTAATGATTTATCGCGTCTAGAAGCAATTTTGTCTAATAATATTGCATCTAGTAACATGTGAGAATAAAATCAAGTCATTACATTTAATACAAAGTGTGCAAGTGACAACTGTACTTAAAAACCTTTGTGACCAGTAATATTAACTCTATCGTTTTCAATCTTGTATTTTTACCAATTATTGGTTTTATTCTTATTTTGTAATGAATGCTTTATATAAAGGAATTATTTTAGGATTGAGAGACTTTATCATGGAAATGTATTATGAACATGTTGTAACAAGTCTTTACTCACTTTCTGGATTCTATAGTTTTGAGCTTTTGTATGATTTATTGAAGAAAGAGTTTTTCCTTGGTGTTATGAGGATATTAAGCTTCTTATATGTGTATAGATATTATTTTTAAAATATGAAGGTAAGGGATTCCATATATGCTTAGGATTTAAAATTATTTATACTAGCTACAGTGAGAGAGGGGACACCTACGAGGATGTGCTTACCCTAGGGTTATTGTGGCCCTAGCCAGGGTAGGGGATGTCCATTAAAGATAAAATAATTAAAAGGGTGAGGTTTAATAGATAATTGTATTATGCAGAATATAAGTAAATGAGTAAGAATATCTTTTCTAATGTATTTCTCTTGAATAGTGCAGTTACATATATAGAGAAGGTAAAGCTGGTACTTTAAATGAAAAATCAAGGAATATAATCGGAACCTAAAATCAAGGGATATACTTATACTATTGACGAAGCAACTAAGGCAACAATTAACCAAAGAATGAATAATACCTTGTTTTGTTTTGATAGACTATTAGTATCATACATATTTTATTTTTCATACTAAGTTTGGTGTAGTTTGGAATATTACTCTAATATTTTGTTTTACTTAAGTCCAAAAAAGATTAAAAAATGTTATTTCAATGTAATTATACTTGATTATTAATTTTATATAAAATTTTACATCTATATATAATTATATATTTCTAAATAAAAATTATTAATTAGGTATGAAATCACCCGATCAGACCGAACAGTTTAAACATTTAAACCGGTTAAACCTAATACAAGACTTCTTCTGGTTTAACGTCCGGTTCGGGTGTCATAGCATTAGTCACGGTCTGTTTCTTATTCCTACCACGATTCCCTACTGATATATTATGTGTGAAGTTTCACTTTTTCCTGTAGCAATTGCTATAGGAAGGATTCAATTTCTTTGAAAATTACTTCTTTTGAAATGCTGGCATCAATCTATAGATATACCAAAAGTTTAAAGTTAGATGTCCCTTGGTTGACATTATTATAATGGAACAAATAAGAATGTTTATGATTTTCATTGACCGTATTTGTTATGTTTTAGTAAGTGGAAGATGCACCTTTCCTTTAGAATTTCTTCATTTTCGGAGTAGTCTATGTCTTTCCATTTGAAAAGGTTTACTTGGTGAAAGAAAGGAAAGCAAACATGTATGTTTTAAGTGTATATATTATGATGAATTTTCAGAACTTTATCTTAGTTTTTTTTGCAAGTGTTTATAAAAAGTAAAAACTTTACTTGCAAGAAATAACATATGTTTCTTCTCTTTTTCCCCTTTTTATAGCCCTACAAAGGTGCACCAACAGTAAGTACCATTTTCTTAAACACTACTATTGTATTATTCTATATTTGAAGAATAAGTCTGGTCAGCCGAGCATAACAAGGGGTGAAGGACCGAACAGGACCCCCATCCCCCCGCCGAGTTTAATTCATACTCGATACACGACATCATGCTAAAAATAAAAAGCAGCAGAGAAAACTTCCAGAATAAAATAAAACATAAATGAAGGAAGGTCCCAACTATTTATAGGGATAGATGGATCAGGTCCCCCTTTAAGTCCCACTCCAAAAAATCATCATACTCGTCTAAAAACACTCGAGTGCGATCCAACGAAGGCCCAAAAACCAAGATGGAAAGACAACCGCACACCCCAAGCCGCAAAATGATTCGCTGACTGATGCGACTACACCAGCCACGTATCGCCCAAACCAGGAGCCTAATAAAAACCTACGCCTAGAGCTTGAAGCCTACCAACATGCCCATATGTCAGACATGCTTCGCCATTCCACCGTTCAGAATGCAAAGTGGTCAGACTAAACAAGAGATGTCATAAGTCTAGTTAAACAAGGATAACAAGCAAAGAGAAAAGAGGTTAATGAATGAAATAAGGCAAATGCTTGGCAAATTGAAGAAATAATACTTTATTGATTAGGAATACTATTACAAGTCTTACAATCTTACAAAAAAAGGTAAAACTCCTATGTAGTCTATCATCGTTCATAGTCGTTACAAGTCTTACAAGCGTTACAGACTTACAAGAGAGAAGAAGGGAAATCCTAATAATCCATTACCAGGCTTCACCTATATAAACCTCCAACCAGTAACTGCAATGAAGCAGGATAGTTGAACTGCTTCAGGATTATGACAGGACGATCAGGAGGATATCAACAAGTCAGAATAAAAGTCGAACTTGGTCTGCAAGAACCTAAAGAGTTTCTCAAGCAGCATGCATCAAAGAAGGACCATGCACCCCTGGCAAAACTTCCTTGGGCTCGAGATTCATTTTTGTCATCACTCGAGTGTGTGAAAAGGCTACAGAAATGAATCTGCAAGTCCGCCTCCGTGACCACATGGCCGATACGGCCACCATCAAAAGAACCATCAATATCCTATATGCTCCAGGAATAAGTCGACCGACATAGACACCATGCTGACACCACCAAAGGTTCTTGTGATAAGTGAACACCTTAT